TCCCGGGCCGCGCGGTACGCCCGCAATGCCTCCTCCTTTTCCTCTTCCTCCTCCTCCTCCTCCTCCTCCTCCTCCTCCTCCTCCTCCTCCTACTCCTCCTCCGCCTCCTCCTCATCATCAGCAGCAGCAGCATCAGCATCAGCATCAGCAGCAGCATCATCATCATCAGCGTCATCACCATCACCATCATCATCACCATCATCATCAGCATCCGAATCATCATCAGCATCATCCTCATCCTCAGCCTCATCCTCATCCTCATCCTCGTCCACCTCCTCCTCCTACCACCAAGACAGCCCCAGGAGGTCAAACATGGCTCAAGATAGCTTCCGAAGACCTCCACGAGGCCTCAATACCGCCACAAGACGGTCCAAGATAGCTGAGCATGGTTCAGGATAACCTCCGCCAGCATGTAGCCAAACATAGCTCAAGGCAGCCTCCAAGAGGGCTCACGAAAGCCTCCGATCGTGGCTGGATGAACTGGTGGGGATACTTGTTTTTTTCGCGAGCGACACGGAGCAACCGCGCGCCGTCAAAGAACGAAGCGACTACGCCACGTCCTATAAATTAAGCTCTAAGCGACAGGAGCGCACTGCGCTGTCACACTGGCGGGGGTATTTTTTTGTCGCAACCGCAAGCGAAAACGCCGGCGGCGAGTAACGGAACGGGCGTGCCGCGCGCGAACCTAATTGCCTAACGCGCCAGGGACAAGAGCCTAGGCGGCACCTCAGAACACCGGGAGCGGAAGGGGGTGAGCTGGTGGGGATATTTGTTTGCGTCGCGACCGCAGGCGAAAGCGCCAGCGGCGAGTAAGGTCTGAGCGGGCCGCGCAAGAGCCTCATTGCCTACCGCCGACGGGCCGGCGACCTAAGCAGCACCTAAGCACCTGCTGGTGGGGATATTTTTTTGGTCGCGGCCGCAGGCGAAAGCGCAAGCGGCGAATCGTAAGTCCGGGGCGCGGGCCTACTAATTGCTGGTGGGGATACGCGAAGCGTCTAGAAATTATGACCCTGAAGCTTGAAATTTGCAGCAACAGTTTCACGGGTGGGAAAGCGGCCCGCTTTCAGTACTGTCGTTCTCGCCTCAGCGCCGCGAACACTCAGCTTAAATGTTAGGAAGAGTTTCACGAAGGTATCTCCCGAGGCCCTCCGAGAACCCTGTACGACGCTGCGGGGGCTCAGGTTGAGTGGGAGTCGATCAATATCACTGGCCTTGATATGGCAGCCGACGGGTCCGCCAAACGTCATGCGATTCGTCAGCTGTCCCATGCGTTCTACTCCTGGATGTTCATGGGTCCTGGGGTCGACGGAATCAAAGCCACCGCCCGTGGCACCGTCCTGAATGTGCTCCCCCAAAGGTCTCAGGCGGCCGAACATCAATACATGGCTTTGCTCTCCATGAATCAGGATGTCGGCGGGGCACGGACGGGGACAGCATGACGGCCATGAAATTAGCTCAGGCTCATGATGACCACCAAGGTTTTCGGAGGCATCGGTGTGCCGGCCTGCGGCGCGGAGCGCTGCTATGGGAGAAGGCTGGTCACCGCCCCGAGCACATCTATACGCCTGCCCATCGTGAGCGTGATGTGCTGGACGGGCTCACTGATCTATCGGATAAACGTACTACCCTCACGAACTGGCATGCCGATGCCCAGGCCAAACGTAGTCTCCTCGACCACCCTCAACCATCTCTCCTTGAGGTGAAAGAGGTGGACAAGAAGTGGGCTATGCTCGTGAACATGGCCAAAGTCATGGGCATAGTTTTGAGCGATCTCCCTCAGGGAATATTCGACCGAACTGCTGTGGGTCCCAGGGCCAAGTTGCACACTGGAGTCTGGCATTCTTGAGAGGAGCGAGGCAATGGCCGCGCCCGCTGCCTCCGATGCCTACAGCTCTCCAGAGACCCAGGGACCCCCACGAGCGGACCGTGCTCGGTTGTATGGGGTTGCAGCAGGACTTGGAACCGTGTGCTAGAGTTCCCCCTCGGTCACAGATTTGTGTCCTCAACGTGCCTTCTGCACCGTGTGCGGCGCGTACTCTGCAGCCAGGTATCGTTTGATCGGGCGGGAGTGTCTGCAACACAGACTCGCAAGCGCCTCCAATCGGGGAGACGTAAGACCCGGGTACGGGGGACTCGGAAATCCCCGACGAGGTCGTCAAAAAAATGACGAGGCCGAGCCTGCATTTTGACGAGGCCTCCCGCTGCAGACATCCCACAAAACTCCTCCTCGTCAAAATCCGAGTCGCGGTCGTCAAAAAACGATGGCGAACCCGAGTCCCGGCAAACCCGGGTCTTACGCTCCCCCGATCCAAGACTTCTCGTCGTATGGATTCAGGCTTGCACCCGTCGTACCTCGAGGCGAACGTCGCTGTAGGTACGTCCTCTCGCCAAGGCGTCGCCCACTTGTGTTATCGCCGCCTCCTGATGTCAGCCTTCCCGTTCATGGTTCCAGTGGCCTCGTTCAGACGGCAGGCATGCTGGCACTGGCTGCGAGAGTGCAAGCACACGATGCGGCGGTACCGGCAAGGCCCTCTGCGTCCTCGCGAGAAGCGTGAGCTCAGCGGTCGCGAAGGGACCGCTGGTTTTACTCACGTATCGTTGTCCGAATCGTTCAGGCACAATGGGATCGCCGATGACCAAATGGAGGGCGGCTGCTTTTTTTAAATGTGGCTCTCGCCTTAGCGCCGCTAACATTCGTCTGAAAAGCCTGCAACAGTTTCACGGACGGAGGGCGGTTCCGTTTCAAAATGTGGCTATCGCCTTAGCGCCGCGCATAGTTGTCTTAAGAGCTTGCAACCATTTGAAGGATTATCACGGTTACTGTCCCAGAAGTGGTGTATTGTCACGATGTTCTGGCACGAATCAGGACCGTCAACATGCAACATCAACAATGATCCGCGCCAGTGTACTTCCAGGAACGGCGTTCTAGCACAATTCCGGAATGTCGAACGAATGCTTTCCAACGCGGCATTTTCCCTCAGTGAAAATGAATCCGTGTGGGAGCATATGAAAATGGAACTTGGAGGGAGGGTATTTTGCAATTTCGTTGGTGAGCCTTGCGTTTACACTAGTCCTTCCCCTCCTCTTCCTCCTCCTCCTGCTACCTCTCCTCCTCCTCATCCTCCTCCTCCGCCTCCTCCTCCTCCTCGTCATCCTCTTCCTCCTCTTCACCATCATCATCAGCATCATCGTCATCATCAGCAGCTTCAGCATCACCATGATCAGCATCAGCATCATCATCAGCATCCTCAGCATCATCCTCATCATCGTCGTCTTCGTCGCCGTCGTCATCAAAAAGTCGCAACGCCATCGCCATCATCAAAAGCAAGGGTAACAACAACATCATAATCCCCCTTCTGATCGTCATCGTCAGCACAAGCATCATCCCCAGCAGCAGAAACGTCATCATACTTCGCCATCATCACCACCATCATCATCATCATCATCAGCAGCATCATTATCAGCAGCATCAACAGCATAATCATCAGCATCATCAGCATCATCATCAGCATCATCACCATGAGCATACGCATCAATATCCTCATCGTCCAACTCATCACCGACAGCATCATCGTCCGCATTATCACCACCACTACCCTCCTCCTCAATATCTTCCTCCACCTCATCATTCCCCGTGTCGCCATCCAAAATAGCAGCAGCATCGTCATCACAATCATTACCACCCTGACCATCATCATCACCATCAGCAACAACCGCATCACCATCATCATCATCGTCATCATCATCGGCATCATTGCCATCGTCACCATCATCATTATATCATCATCATCATCATCATAATCATCAACAACATAACCACCATCGTCATCGTCATCATCATGGTCAGCATCATCATCATCGTCAGCATCGACATCATCATTGTCGTCGTCATCATCCACATCATCATCATCATCATCGTCGTCATCATCAGCGTCATCAGCAACACCACCATCATCATCATCCGTATACTCGTCGTCGTCGCCAAACTCAGGCTCATCCTCATCTTCATGATCCTCCTTGTCGTCATCATCCTCCTGGTACTCGTCCTCACCCTCCTTCTCCTCCGCCTCCTCCTCCTTCTCCTCCTCCTCCTCCTCCTCAATCTGTTGCTCCGTGCTCTGCGGGCGGTGCTCTCCAACAGTTCTCGTGCCCAAGCTTGCTAAGGTTGCGAAGTACGGACAGGAGTCAGTCAGGGCCGGCCTGGCAGCGGATCCTGGGTTCCCGTGGGGGATGTCTGTATCTCCTGTAGTTGCCAATGCTGCTTGGGTTTGGGAGCCTGTCGGGCTTCATCACGATCTTGGCGAAGGGCGTCCGTTCGGTGACACCCTTCGTATCTGTACATCCCTCTCGTGCCGCTGCTCTACCTCTTTCAGTGGGTGCGTGTGCTTGTTGTCCTCGGTTCTTTCAGCCTCCTATGGAGATTTAGATGAGTACCCGTGGAGTTCAAACCAATCTTCCTCCTCCTCATCATCATCATCGTCAAATCAAAACCCTCCTCCTCCTCCTCCTCCTCCTCGTCCTCGTCATCATCACCATCGTCATCATCATCATCATCATCATCATCATCATCATCATCATCAGCAGCAGCAGCAGCACCATTATCATCATCATCACCATCATCACCATCATCATCATCGTTGTCGTCGTCATCGTGATCATCATCTGTATCATCATCATCATCATCATCATCATCATCATCATCATCAGCAGCAGCAGCAGCATCATCATCATCATCATCAGCATCAGCATCAGCATCAGCATCAGCATCAGCATCATCACCATCATCATCGTCATCATCAGCATCATCAGCATAGTCAGCATCATCATTATCAGCAGCATCATCATCAGCTTCAGCATCATCATCAGCATAATCATCAGCAGCAGAATCATCGTCATCACCATCAGCATCATCATCAGTCATCAGCCATCAGCCATGAGTATTCAGCACCATCATCCTCATCCTCATCCTCATCCGCCTCCAGGGGAGCGTCCATAGGCGCCTCCACGGGCGCCTCCACGTGCGCCTCAACGGGCGCCTCCACCGGCGCCTCCACGGGCACCTCCGCGGGCGATTCGACAGGCGCCTCCACGGGCGCCTCCACGGGCGCCTCCACGGGCACCTCCGCGGGCGCCACCACGGGCGCCTCCACGGGCACCTCCGCGGGCGCCTCCACGGGCGCCTCCACGGGCACCTCCACGGGCGCCTCCACGGGCGCCTCCCGTGGAACGTCCACAGGCGCCTCCACGGGCACCTCCACCGGCGCCTCCACAGGCGCCTCCACGGGCGCCCCCACAGGCGATTCCACGGGCGATGCCACGGGCACCGCCACGGGCGCCTCTACGGACGCCTCCGCGGGCGCCTCCACGGGCGCCTCCACGGGAGCCTCCACGGGCGCCTCAATGGGCACCTCCACGGACGCCTCCACCGGCGCCTCCACGGGCGCCTCCACGGGCGCCTCAATGGGCACCTCCCAGGGCGAAGGGCGGAGGACGGAAGACGGAGGACGGAGGACGGAGGAGGCAGAGGAGGCGGCAGAGGACAATATCTCTCGGGAGCTCTGGAGAACGCGCTGCCCATGGACTCGTCTGGGAGAGATAGGAGTAGGAGAGGGACACAAAGAGAGCGCGCCAACGACGACGAGAAGCACGGCAACGACGAGCGGCGCCTCCGCGGCGGCCGCCAGCGCGGGCCTGCCAGAGGCCGTCCCAGGCCGGGAGTGCGGGCTGGGGCCGTGGTGCAGCTCGGCCGAGAGCTCCACCACCCTCACCTGGCCGGCCTCACGGGCGGTGAGGGTACCGTCGTCGTCGACGTCGTCGACGTCGCTGACGTCACTGACATCGCTGACCTCTTCGTCGCCGTTGTTGATTGCGTCGTCGTCGTTGGCGTCGCTGACGTCGTCGTCGCCGTCCTGGGGGACGACGACGACGACGCCGCCGCCGACGACGACGACGACGTTGACGGCGACGATCGGCAGGGGAAGGGTTGGGGAGGGGGAAGGGGAGGGAAACAGGGGTGGAAGAGAAGAGGAGAGAGGGAGGGAAACTGAAGGAAGGAGAGGAGATCGTGGGAATGGGAAGAGGAGAAAAGAACAGCGGAAGGAAAGCGAACGGGTGGACACTCGGACTGCCAAAGGGGTGGACTATTCTTCGAACAGCCACCTGGCCACCATGAGCTCCAGCCGGGCACAGGGGCGTGAACTGAGCCGCCCGGGTTCCGTTGGACACGAGGGAGAGGATGCTTGCGCGGAAGCTGTCGAAGACGAGCTGGGAGCCTTCGCGCCGTCCTCCCTATACCCCCTTTTCTGTTCTCACTTTCTGCCTCTCTACTCTTCTGCTCGTTTGCCTCTCCCCTGCCCTCGTTCGTTCGTACAGCTTCGAGCGCCATGGTGCCAGTAGCTGGCATGCCAGACACGTGGAAGGACCCGCGGTGGGCAGAGAGGCGGACAAGGAAGAGAAAAAGGGGGAGGGGGGAAGAGGGAGGAGGGAGGAGGAGGGAGGGAGGAGGAGGGAGGAGAGGATAGGAGTGGAGGGGTGCTCGCACGGAGAAGACGCAGCAAGGGGGCAGAGTTGCACCACCAAGAAATATCCATATATCCAAATCGACCACTTCTGGAGCCGTGCTGGGCATGGCCTGGAGAGTGATGGATTGCACATCATTATCTCCCCAACCTTTGGAGTCGGAGACATTCCGCACCCACCACCCCCCAGCGTCCTCGGGTACGACTCCGAGGCTGTGAGCCGCACGTGGGGGCCACCCGAATGGGGCTGTGGAGCAGATGGGGCCAGAGGGTCGCGCCGCGGCGCCGATGCGTCGGCGACGGCAGGATGGAGGAACTCGAGCTCCAGGTCGTGCAGCATAGCCGACGCATCAGCGGTGCGGCAGCACCCTCCGACCCTGGCCACTCTGGCCGGATCTGGGCCGCCTGGAGCCTGGGCGCCCCCCTGGGCTCTCTCTCGGGCCGCCCCGTCGGCCCCTTTCCTGGGAGGCCCTCCCCCGGGCCGTCTCGGGAGGCCCTTCCTGGGAGGCCCTTCCTGGGAGGCCCCTTCCTGGGAGGCCCTTCCTGGCAGGCCCCCGGGAGGGCTCCCTCGACGGCAGAGCTCTTGGAGGGCCCGCCGGGGAGCCTTCGCCCGAGGGCAGAGCCGCCCCCTCGGCCTCGCGCTTGGCCTCCGCGAGGCGCCGGGCGAGCTCGTCGCACGTGAGCCTCTGCCGGCTGGCGCGCGACTGGTGGACGGTGGCAGGCCGCAGTCCAGGGGCCGGCGCCCAGGGAAGGCCCCCCTCGGCCGTGTCAGGGGAGGGGAGGGGGGAGGGGGACGGGGGGGGGCAGAGGGCAGGGACCTAGGGAGGGTGCGGCGGATCACGAGCGACGAACAGACCCACATCCACGCCATTGCTGTCCAGACACCGGGGCGCGGTCCCGTGGACGCGCGATATCCAAAGGAGATACGCTCCGCACGGGGCATCCACGCAAAGCCGCTACGCATCCAGGGGGTCGCGGCCGAGGAGTGAGGATCGTGAGGCAACGGATATGGATTGTTGCTCGCACGCTGGAAGGAGAAGGAGCGCGCAACCCGTTGTCCAAGGGAGCGATTATTTCTTCGTATGTTTCCGGGCGCCAGCGCCATGGCAACTTTCCATGGTCGGGGCGTCTTGCTCCCTCCACGCCGCCGATGGCACACATAATGTTGTTGCCATTGGCCACAGGCACAAAGGCAGATTTCCATGGTCGGAACAAAATCGCCCCAACGTTGCCGATTGCGTGCGGCGACCTACAAAGAGACGCTAAGGAATCCGAATCAGAAACGCGCCCCCTTGGTGTGGGTGGCCAGCGCCGCCAGAAACCGAGAACCGCACGGCGCGGCACGGCGCGGGGACACGGCGCGGCACGGCACGGCACGGCAAGCTTGCCGCACGCCAGAACCCAGGCACGGCGTGGCACGCTATGCTGACTACCTACCAGACCACCCCAACCCAACCCGAAGACCCGAATTTCGGGTTGGGGGGGGTAAGGGTTCCACATGTGATTTTTCAATGTTTCCCGACCCCCCCCCCCACTGGAAATCGAGGGTAAATCTGAGCCTTCGGGTTGGGTTGGGGTGGTTTGGTGGGTGGTGATATGCGGGCACGGCATGGCACAGCACATCTGTCGCACTCCAGCACCCGGACACGGCACGACACCGCCCGGCGGGGCACCGCACGGCGCGGCACGGCACAGCTGCTGCACTGCACAGCCCTGGCACGGCACGGCACGGCGGGCGGGCACGCCTCGAGACGGCACGTCTCTCGCGGGCACGGCACGGCGAGGCACGGCACGGCGCGGCGCAGGACATGTTCGCACTCTGCTACCAGAGCACAGCGGGGCGCGGTGCGGTGGCCCTCGGCACGGCACCGCTTCGCATCCCAGAACCTAAGTAGGCTTGGCACAGCACGGCACGGCACAGTAGCGCGTTCTAGAACCGAGGCAGGGACCGGCACGGCAGGGCACGTGGGCACGACACGGCACGGCATGGCACACGTGTCGCATCCTAGAACCATAGCACAGCGGGGAGTCCTACGGAGGGAGCCCTCACCGGGAATCCTGTGGGGAATCCTATGGGGAATATGGGGAACATGAGAAATTCTACGTGTGAGTCCTGTGGGATCTTAGGGAGGAATCCTGTGGGGGAATCTCGCGGGGGGAATCCCACTACGAGCCCCATGGGGAACTCCTATGGAAGGGGATATCTAGGAGAATCCGACCGGAGAATCCAGACCCAATTAGAATCCATTTGGAACCCGATTGGAACTTCAGGATCTGCAACTCCAGAGGATCCCAAAACAGCTGCCTGCCTCTGAGGGTGTGCTTTGCACACCGCATCTGGTGCCCTGGAGCCCCTTTCTTATTTTCCTGGGGGCCGCCGAAGAGACAAACAGCTGCGGGAAACAGCGCGTCGCGTGTCCACCGAGAGGGAGGAGGCGGGGCCCTCGCGTGTACTTCACCTGCTTGACATGGGGGGGGGGGAGGGCCCGCACCGCTCGGCAAACCAACGCATGAGAAAACAAACGCCTGGCGGCACATGCTTCGCATTCTGTGTCATAGAAGCGGGTTCTCTGAATGCTGACTACCCACCAGACCACCCCAACCCAACCCGAAGACCCGAATTTCGGGTTGGGGGGGGGTATGGGCTCCATGTGTGTTTTTCGATGTTCCCGGACCCCCCCACACTAGAAATCGAGGGTAAATCTGAGCCTTCGGGTTGGGTTGGGGTGGTTTGGTGGGTGGTGAAATGCAGTTGCGGCCACTTTCACCATTCGCTGGTCAGGGGATACCACTCATGACATGTTAGCCAGCGCGGACACCAACCAGTGTCTTTTTCCAGCCAAGTGGTGCAATATTTGTGGGGCGACCTACGTGGTGCAATTGATTTTAGCAAACGGGCTGAGACATCCCACGCTCTTGCGAGCATCCCACCCACCCACCCGCAATGTGGTTTGCAAAACGCGTGCGGTGGCGATTGCGATAAGTGTTTGGCGTTCGCTGGTCCATTTCTGCGGCCGCGCCAATCCAAGCAAGCGCGCACAGCGGCCAAGTGCCATTTGGTACCCACCGTCACGGTCTTAAGAGATTTTGCAATTTATGAGGTGCAGGAGGCGTGATGCAATATAATATTGGGTGCAATCAATGTGGTGCAATGAAGTATGTGGTGCAATCTATGTGGTGCGCAGTCTACGTGGCGCAGTCTAGGCGGCGACGTGGCGGCGACGGCGACGAAATAGTCGCCGGACCGCCAGCCAGGCCTAGACGACGGGCGGCGACACGGCGGCGACAGGGCGTCAGAGAGCGACGGAATAGTCACGAGACCGCCACACACGCCCAGACGGCAGGCGGCGACGAGGCGGCGACGGGGCGGCGACGGCGACGAAATAGCCGCCGGGCCGACACACACGCCCAGACGACGGGCGGTGACACGGCGGCGACGGAGCGGCGACGGCATCGGCACAGCCGCCGGACCGCCACACAGGGCCCAGACGAGGGGCGGCAACGCAGCGGAGACGATGGGCGGCGACGACGACGGCGACGCAGCCGCCGGGCCGCCACGCAGGCCCAGATCCCTGAGAGATGAACAAGTAAGAGCCCCACAAGTGCAGGCAAGCACTGCTGGGGGAATGTATATCTGCACCCAGAAGATATGACTAGTGGTACCGCTGCGCAGGAGAGGGGAAGGGAGAGGCGAGGGAGGGCGAAGTGGGCGAAGTGAGGGAATGGAGAAACGAATCAAAACCGTACCCAGGTTCTGGCGTGGCACTTCCAGGCGAGCTCGCCAGTCGAAGCGCACCGTCCCTGACCCTGGATGCGGCTCGGGGGGTCCCGAGCTGAGCCTTCCCAGGCATCCGGGCGCAGGACTAGAGCCTGCTCGATGAGAGCCTGCATGCGCACGTCACGCTCGGTCTGCTTCTGCTGCTCTGTTCTCTCGCGGAGCGCTCTCTCGCTGGCCTCCTTTTGGGACTGCAGCTCCTCGAGCTCCTCGCGTAGATCCTCCACCTCCTCTGGCGGCTCAAAGTCCAAGGGTTGTCCAGGTGAGCTGGTGACAGTGGCCTGGGACCCAGGACAGATCCACGCCCCAGGACAGGATGAAAGAAGCGATAACAACATCCCCCATCTGCAAACGCACCTCCCATTTGTACAGGACGAGGTGCAGCAGTAAAAGGAGCAAGAGGGCGCCCAAGCTCTGAGCTGGCACTTGGGCTGGCGTATCGTGTATCTAATACTATCAATTATGAGGACTGCCCAGCACAAAGAGTGTTCATGTTGATGCTGGTGCAAGTGAGAGTGTAAATGAATTAGAAGGGCACTCACCACGAGAAACATGATCCGATGCCGTTGCACCACTGCTCGCGGTGTCCAGATCGGCTAGAGGAATCCCACCAGCCCTCTGGGCGCAGGTGGTCTCACGATGACTGTCTTTCCTCTTCCAAATGCCACTATTTCCCTTCGGGGAGGGGTTTACCCCTCCCCTATTCCCTATTAATATACACCCCCTCCCCCAGGCGACTGGGAGCCAACCCGAGACCATGCGGGCCCCCCCCCACCATCCCTTGTAAAAAACCATGCAAACACACACTCTGCCTCCAAATTCGGAGCATGCGCAGCGAACCCGATGCGGCCTCCCCCCACCATCCCTGTCAAAAAGCAATACAGAGTACACCTGGCGGCGGCGGCGGCGGCGGCTGCGGCGGCTGCGACGGGGGCAGCGGCTGCGGCGGCTGCGGCAGTGGCGGCGGCGGTGGCGGCGGCGGCGGCGGCAGCGGCGGCGGCGGTGGCGGCGGCGGCGGCAGCGGTGGCGGCAGCGGCTGCGGCGGCAGCGGCTGCGGCGGCGGCGATTCGGCAGCGGGGTTGCGGGCGGCGGCGGCGGCGGCGGCGGCGGCGGCGGCGGCGGATTCGCCCCCAGTAGCTGCCCATCCAAAGACGATTGCTGAATATGCTGCGGCTCGGGCCAGGCGGGCAGGAGTGAGCGAGACGGCTTGCGGGCGGGGAGGGCGTCTTGACCCCTCCCCCTACCCCCTCCCCTGGACCTGGACGGGAGGGGCCGTGATCGGTTGGAGCGTCCAAGATCGGCCCCTGGCAGGGCCATCTTTTGACACCCCTCACGAGGATCGTGGCCCCCGAGGGGGCGGCCTCGATCGGGACCCTCCCTCCTTTGATCGATAGCCTCGAAGGTGGCCCCAAGAGGTGTTCCAGGGCTCCCAAGAGAGCCCCAAGCGAGCCTCAAGAGGGCTCCAGGAGATTCCCAAGAGGGCCCCAGGAGGCACCCGAGAGACCCCCAAGAGGCCCCCGAGCGGCCTCGCGCCCAAGAGCGCTCCAAGAGAGCCCCAATAAGCGGTTTGCCGGCTCCTGAGGGGGGAGCTGATCGGGGACCCCCCCATCCTGTAATCGATGGCCTCCAACATGATCCCAAGAAGCCTTCCAGGGTGACCAAGAGGGATCCAAGAGGGCCCCAAGAACTCCCAGAGAGCACCAGCAGCAGCAGCCGCAAAGATACCTCTAGATGGTTCCATGAGTCCTCGTCCGTGTCGTCCTCATCCTAGTCCTCGTCCTCCTCGTCCTCGTCCTCATCCACGTCCTCGCCCTCCTCGTCCTCGCCCTCCTCGTCCTCCTCGTCCTCCTCGTCCTCCTCGTCCTCCTCCTCCTCCTCCTCCTCCTCCTCCTCCTCCTCCTCCTCCTCCTCCTCCTCCTCCTCCTCCTCCTCCTCTTCCCCTCGCCGCCACGCGGCACCCAGGGATGGCCCGAAGCGGCCTTCCAAGGCCACCCCCTTGCTCGTTTTGTTTCCCTGGGTGTGTCTCGTCGTCCCTCTTCCCGTCAGCCCTGAGGGGCAGGGTTTCTGAACTGGCTGGCGGGGAATTGCGAAGCGTGAAGAACTCGTATGATAGCATGACACAACAACTGCCACAAAACGAGGATCCAAGAAAGGAATACCTGACTATCCGCCTCCCTGGGGGAATCACGCAGTGCGAAGATAGTGAGCTATAGGGGAAATATGAAGAGAAAGGAGGAGGAGGAGAAGGAGGAGGAGGAGCAAGAGGAGGTGGAGGAGGAGGAGGAGGAGGACCAAGAGGAGGAGGAGGAGGAGGAGGAGGAGGAGGAGGAGGAGGAGGACCAAGAGGAGGAGGAGGAGGAGGAGGAGGAGGAGGAGCAAGGATGACGGATCTGGCAAACGCGACAAAACCTCTACAACTCCGCTGGGCTCCGACCGCGGTGGATCTCATTTACCTTCCGGCTTGGCCGGGCACCGAAACCTACCAAGACCTGAGCACAGACCTGGACCCGCGTACCCACACTTGCTGACGCCTCGCTGCTGCATCCGCCGGCGGGCCCGCCACCACATTCCGCCCGCCACCACATGTTACACCCGCCAGCTTCCGCCGACCTCCCACAGACACCGAGGCGCGCCGAATGCGAGGCCCTCTCTGGAACGCGCCAGGCGGCAGAGGCCGCCCCACCCTCCCGGAGAGCTTCGGTCGGCAGGCTCCCCCATGCGGGCCCCAGAACCGCACGGTGACAGACCGTGCGGTGACCTCGAAATCTCTCGAAGGACCTCACCACACGGTGCGTCACCGTATGGTTTTGCGGCCTTGGAGGTCCCCGGTCGCCCGAGATATCCTGGGAGAACGACCCGAGTCCCAAAACCGTGCTGCCACCCCGACTCCCCACCGACTCGCACGGTTCCAGCAGGAGATCGACTACAGAATCGATGTGCCGCAAAATTGATTGTCCTGTCGAATCCACGAAAAATGCGCATGAATCTCTGTCGATCTACAGGACATTCTGAATTTTGCTCCGCAAGTTCGAAGGAAACAACAAAAGAGACTGGGGTAAATCAATTCTGCAATCGGTCCCCTTCTCGAACACGGTGTGGTCACCGCTCCGCTTGGGGGCCCTCGAGCCACGCGGCAGAAGCAACCCCCCCCTCCCGGAGACTTTCGGCCAGCCGGCTCCTCCAGAGCGCGGCTGCGCTCCGCCCGCTCCCGGGCCAGCGCCTCCTGCAGCGCTCTCGTGCCGACGCCGGCGGTGCCCGGGCGGGACGAGGCGGGTGCCGCCCGAGCGGACGCCGCCGCCAGCACTGCGCCGTCCTCCAGCGGGGGGGGCCCTTCCCTCCAGGGAAGGGCCGTTCGAGGCAACGGGCCCCGCGAGGAGCGGAGAGAAGGGGCAGAGAGGAGGAGGAGGAGGAGGAGGAGGAGGAGAAGGAGGGAGACTCCGTGAACGGATGTGCGCTCTCTTCTTCTCTGTCCCTGTCCATGGACACCATTTCAGGCTGGAGCGGGTGCAAGGGGAAGGGCCTCAGTGTGAATGTAACGACGAGACTATTAGTCCCCTCGCATGCACACACACACGGTTTAAAAGTTAGTAGCTCTGAAGTGTCAGCACACAGTGCTGACTCGTTGGCTCCCACAATCTGCCTGCACCTGCCTGTAGCCGAGGCTCTTCTGCACTGATCCCCTTGCACGAGGAGGAGGAGGAGGAGGAGGAGGAGGAGTTAAGGTACCCTGAGGAGGAGGAGGAGGAGGAGGAGGAGGAGGAGGAAGAGGAGGGAGGAAGAGGGAGGAAGAGGAGGAGGCACACGACGACGACGACGAACGACGACGACGACGACGATGACGACGACGACGACGACGACGACGACGACGACGACGACGACGACGACGACCCACCGTCCTCCTCCTCGCTCAAGTCGATGGCCTGGACGCGCGGCGGGGCCGCGGCCGTCCGCGGGCCGGCGGGCGCGGCCGGAGCCGCCATGCCGGCGGCCAGCGCCGCTTCGCGGCTGCCTGGCGCCCACCCCCCCCTCCCGGGGAAGAGCGTCGTGGACCAGCGAGGAGGAGGAGGAGGAGGAGGAGGAGGAGGAGGAGGAGGAGGAGGAGTTAAGGTACCCTGAGGAGGGAGGAGGAGGAGGAGGAGGAGGAGGAGGAGGAAGAGGAGGGAGGAAGAGGGAGGAAGAGGAGGAGGACGACCTGCCTCCAGACGATCACTCTTGACGAGTACCCTCCTGGCCTTGGGCCAGAACTCCTGGGCTTTTCGCCTCGAAGGGCGGGGGCGAAGGGCGGGGAGGGGCAGACGAGCCTCGAAGCACACATCGCGTCGCCGGGCTCGCTGCGCCTGTCTCGCGACGTCCAGGCTGGCTTCGCACGGCTCGCGTCGCGTCCGTGCCAGGGGCGGGGACGGGAAGGGAGAGAAGAAGGGAGGATCGAGGCCCCAGGGAGGGGAGGTCCCAGGACTCGGAACTCAGCTGCCCGCGGAACAGTCCCGAGCGATGGGATCAGTGCCAGGGGTGTGCACGGAGCTGAAGACCTCATGCAGACCAGGGGAGGGGGGGGGGAGGACGGGGGAGGAGCATCCAATGGCCTCTTGTCCCCCCTTCGATCCCGCACACCCCTTCCTGCCCTCAGCTCGCCTTCCCTCATCTGCCCGTCCCTCCCCCCTCCCGCGGCGGCGAGCAAGAAGAGGACGAGGCCAGGGGGCCAGCTTTCTCAGAAGGCCCCCCCACCGTCCAGACGGAGCGAAGGCGGTGGCTTTTCAGAGCCCCCGGCCTTCTCGGCAGGCCGCCCACCCCGACCCTGGCCTCCCTCCCCAGAGCTCCGACGCCCTTGTTCTGTTGCTCCGTGCGCGGAGCCCCGCCGCTCTCGGCCCCCGCACTGGTGCAGATTTCGCGCCGCGGGCCGCTTCCTGTGGGCCCCGTCGCCGTGGCCTGAACTGACTACCTACCAGACCACCCCAACCCAACCCGAAGACCCGAATTTCGGGTTGGGGGGGGTATGGGTTCCATGTGTGTTTTTTCGATGTTCCCCGACCCCCCCCCCACTAGAAATCGAGGGTAAATCTGAGCCTTCGGGTTGGGTTGGGGTGGTTTGGTGGGTGGTGATGAACCGACCCTTGGCGGCCCAAACCCTCAAAAGGCGTCGCATCCCGCCTCTTGCCAGGACGCCGATGCCACGGAGTTTGCTCGCCACCAGCTCCTCCCCCGCGGAGGAACGTTGGGAGGGAGACCGGCTCGGAGGGGGAGACATCGACCTGGCATCGGCGGTGCGTCGCCGAGAGGCCAACGGTAGGCCCCCGATAGCGAATCCGCTCGGTCTTTGGCGGGGTGGGCCATCGGGCCCCTATCGGCGATGAGTGGCTGATCGGGGTTCGGAACGTCCACCCCGTGAGCCTCTCCCCCCCCTCCACGCCCCTCCTCCTCCTCCTCCTCCTCCTCCTCCTCCATCTCCTCCTCCTCCTCCTCCTCCTCCTCCTCCTCCTCCTCCTCCTCCTCCTCCTCCTCCTCCTCCTCCTCCTCCTCCTCCTCCATCTCCTCCTCCTCCTGCCCCGAGTGCTCCCCTGCACGCCCTTTCCTTGGCCCCGGCGGCTCCGCACGAGAACGCTCGTGCGGGCAGCGCTGCGCGGCAGAGCGTCTGTGTGCGGCCTTCGGCCGCAGTGATGTGACCCCCTGGGCTTGAGCCGCGGCGGCCGCGGGTGACCTGCGGGAGGAGGGAGCGGAGGCGGGGGCTAGGGGAGGGGGGGGGGGCAAGGAGCGGGAGGACCTCTCGGGCCTGCCGAGTGTCCGCCACATGGTTTGGCCACCAGCGCTCTGGATTGGATCGGACTCTGATCCAGCGCTGGGCTCGAGACTAGAACCGACGGGAACCCGTCGCAAAAAGACAGGAGGGCGCAACCAGAGCCAAAGGCTGCGAAGAGGGGAGAGGAAGGAGACAGGGCAGGGGAGGAACTAACCCGTTAAAAGGGTTAGACCCTCTAACAGAGTCATAGATTTAGATATGTAATGTGTAAGCATGCGCATTGCACTCTGTAGATCCGCCTTAAACACCTGGCCAGAAACCTGTCAAGCGGCGGAAAGACAGCGACACCATTGTCAAGCGATGCAAGCGTTAAAGATATTCACTTTCAGTCCCTCGACAAAGTTGCGTGAGACCAAATTGCACGCAACACCTTGAAATCCTGCATTGCCGCACCAGATATCAAATTCAACTCAGAGCCGCTACGGCAATCAGAACAGATGCGAACCCCGAGATACAACAACGCTTCCTTTTTCAGACACCGTGTCCCAACACTGTTAAGTACGTGCACGTCTGAACGGGATCTCATCATGTCTACTTCGTTCCAGTTGAACTGAAGGTCGTACTGCTTCCCGCACTCCTCCACGCTGGACATGAGCTCATGCACGACGACTGGGTTCGCGTCAATCAGAAGCGTGTCGTCGGCGTACAGCAATTGTCGCACGAAGTGGGCGTCTGGAATGTCCGGTAATCGCCTGCGTAGCTGGGCAAGAGCATCCATTAGCAGCGTCGGCATGACGATAGTGAACAAAAGGAGACAATAGGTACCCTTGGCTGATGCCGAAGCTCTCTCGCCGCTCACTGGGTGACGTGCCAAAGTCGGACACAAAGAAGTTGCTGCCCTCGCGGATCGCCTTCACCATGTCTGCGAACTTGGCAAAGCACTCGAACTGTCGAAGCGACGTCGCCATTGCTGCGAGCGACAAAGAATCGAAAGCCTTCGCCCACTCTAGCGCCAATAGGTTGACTGTCCCCTCCTTTGTGGCCCACGCGTCCTCGAGCACCCTCCTGGCCACGAAGATTGCGTCCGAGGAAGCCGAATTAGGCGGGCAAGATTTGAACCTGCGCACCCGCGCTGTTCAACCTCTGCAACATGATCATCGCGAAGACCGCGTGCCCTATCGGCAGCAAACTGATCGGCCAGTGATTGTCGCACGCGGCTAAGTCTCAATATTTGTAAATCATGCCTTTCGTAAATCATACCGGCCCGCACCGCTGCCTGCGACCAGACCACGTTGCAGCCCATGCAAGGGCTGGCAGTCCATCCTCAGCAGGCGCTTTCCAGAATTCTGGCGGCAGGCCATCCAAGCCCCCCGATCGCTTGTTTTTCCATCTGCGGGCGGCTCGCTGCAGCTCATCGTCAATGACGACGTCCCAGTTGAATGGTAAACCAATGTGATTTGCCAGGTCTTCCAGCAGCGCTGTCGTCGGCCGCACAGCCCATTGCACTGCCGCGAAGTGCTGCGCAAGCTATCCTGCGGTCGCTGAACACCAAGTCGCCCTCGTCCACTTGAAGTCTTCCCTGGGCATGCTGACGGCATTAGCGCAGTATGTGTATATGTACCAATCTCCGTCGCAATGTACACTCTCAAACCAAATTCGCCTTATCTCTGGCCACGGAAGCTCGGATTCGCTTCCCTCGGCCAGGAAAGTTCGGAAGCTCGGCCAAGAAGAGCCATGCGAAATTGAGGGGACTGGAGTGAGGGGGGGGGGGGGGGGGGCGAGCGGAAGAGAGCTGCAGAGGAGGCCTCCCCAACCAGAGGACTGAGTGAGGGATGGATAAATGGGAAAAGGAGGAGCAGCAGGAGGATGTGAAGGTGCAGGAGGAGGCCACCCACCGATTCGCGAGCGAATGATATATTTTTTTTGCCTGGAGCTCTACGAGTGAAACCAGGTTGGAGGTTGGCAGTCTCGCTGCTCGCGCTCGGGTGCGAGCGGCAGACATGGCTGGAGGGAAAGGCTGCCTCAAAATCTTGCTTGGGGTCGGCTCCCCTGATCTCTCTTCCTCGTCCTCCTCCTCCTCCTCCTCCTCCTCTGGGGTCGGCTCCCCTGATCTCTCTTCCTCGTCCTCCTCCTCCTCCTCCTCCTCCTCCTCCTCCCCCTCCTCCTCCTCATCCCTCTCTCTCTCTGTCTCTCTCTCTCTCTCTCTCTCTCTCTCTCTCTCTCTCTCTATATATATATATGTGTGTGCATCCGTTCATCCATCCCGCCTCATACTCCTCCATCCCTCCTCTTTATGCGCCACCGTGGCCCCTGGGGCGGCGTTGAGGCGCGGTGGAATACCAACTGCAGCCTGGTTGGGATTCTGCACGTCTTCTGAAGGACGTGCCCCCCCTCTCCCTCCCTCATCAAGCCCCAAGATGGCATCAGAGAACCCAAGATGGCCTCCAAGATGGCCCAATGTACCTCAAGATGTCCCAAGATGGCCACCACCATGCCTGCAGAGGCTCCAAGACCCCCCTACCCAACCAAAAAAACGTCCCCAGTGGTCCCTATGGGCATCCGCAAGATGGCCCAAGAGAGCCCCAAGAGGAGCCCAAGAGGACCACAAGATGTCCCAAGATGCTTCAAAAAAGCCCCGGAGAGCGCCCCAGGAGGGCCCGAACAGGCGATGCTTAAACATCCGAGGGAGGTGGGGGAGGATTCAGACCCCGCCCCCATAAGCCATGGGGCCTCATATCGCCACAAGAAGGCCCTGAGTGCCCTCAAAAGAGCCCCGAGAATCCTGAACGGGCTCCAGGAGAGGGCCGAATGCCCGAGGGCCCCAAGACGGTGCCAAGACGGCTCCAAGAGGCAAGATCTGCGAAGGCATGCCTCGCCCCCTCTTACTCCGTATGCTCCTCCTCTTCCTCCTCCTCCTCCTCCTCCTCCTCCTCTTCCTCCTCCTCCTCCTTCCTCCCTCCTCCTCATACCTCCTCCTTCCTCCTCCTCCTCCTACTCCTCCTCCTCCTACTCGTTCTTCTCATCGCCTCCGCCTCCTCCTCCTCCTCCGCATGCTGCTTTTACCTCCTTCTGTGTTTCCTCCGCCCATCCTCCTCCCTCCTCCCCTTACCAACCACCTCCTCCTCCTCCTCCTCATCCTCATGCCACCTCCTCCTCCTCCTCCTCCTTTCCCCTCCTCCATCTCTTCCTCCCCCTTTTCCCTTTTTCCTCCTCCTCCTCCTCCTCCTCCTCCTCCGCCTCCTCCTCCTTCTCCTCCTTCCCTTCCCCCCAAGATGGCTCCAGGAGGCTGCTCCAGGCATGGGCATCGGTTGTGAATGGGCTGCTGGGGATGCGCCAATCGTGACGACCAGGTGCCACGACGAATAAACTCAGCATCAACATCATGACCGTAATCGGCATTGTCGTCGGCAACCGTCTAACCAGCATCACCATCAGCAGCAGCACGAACACCCCCGTCATAAACATCGGCAGCGTCAGCAGTAACTGCATCAGCATGATCCTCGTCATCGTCATCATCAGCAGCATCAGCAGCAGCATCTTCATCATCAGCTGCAGCAGCATCGTCATCATCATTAGCAGCATCAGCATCAGCATCATCACCACCAGCAGCAGCATCATCACTATCACCATCATCATCAGAATCAGCATCATCATCATGATCATAATGATCACCATCACCAGCAGCATCATCATCAGCATCTTCATCGGCAGTAGCAGCATCAGCAGCATCATCCTCATCATCACCATCATCATGAACCTCTGCAGCATCATCATACTCAGCATCGTCATCCTCATACTTGGCTCCAACAGAAGCTCCCTTGGAAACTCGCAACAAGAAGTATATGTGTGTACGCCCATAGGCGACATGAGTTGTCGCGCGCGCGTGCTCCGCGCTCGCGCGCGCGAGATCCAGAGACGCCCCCATGGCCGCAAAATGGTTCCAAGAGGGCCTGAGGCGGACGGCAACGCCCAGACGACCACGGGATGACGCCACCCCAGCACGATCCCGCCGTGGATTCTGGACCGTCCCAGGCCGACTCGAAGATGACCGAACAGGAGCCACGAGTGACGCCGAGATGGCCCGATGGCAACAAGATGGATCTACGCGCGCCCCGGGTGGCCCCAGAATGAACACGACGGCTGCGCGATCCAAGCATGACCGAGATTTGATATCAAGATGATCTCAAGACGACCCCGACATGCTAGGAATGCTGCAACTTCGGGGCCGCATCTGACTTTGAAACGATCCCAGCATGGCGGGATCCGTGGACGACCTGGGATAAGTGTTCACCCTAGTTTAGTGGGTGGGAGTTCTGGCTGAACTAAAATTATAGTATTCAAGGGGAGTAAGCTAAGCGAAATCCCGCCCGGCCCACGGGCGAAGACTACACTGATAGGCTTCTACGGGGGGTATAGGGGGTTTCGGGCAAGGCGTCATCCGCAAGCCTTCCAACGGCCTTCCGACGTCTTCCGACTCGTTTTACTTCCGTCGGCTTGCGCTAGCGGGCGACATAACGAAAACTCAAGAACTTTCATTGGGCCTATGTAATGCGCATCATCATAATCATGATCATCAGCAGCAGCAGCATCATCATCAGCATCATCATCAGCAGCAGCATCGTCATCACCATCATCAGCATCAGCATCATCAGCATCATCAGCAGCACCAGCACCACCATCAGCAGCATCATCACCATCATCAGCAGCAGCTTCATCAGTATGATCATCATCAGCATCATCATCATCATCCTCATCCTCACCAGCACCATCATCATCATCAGCATCATCATCAACAGCATCATCAGCACCATCAGCATCATCAGCATCATCAGCATCATCCTCGACACTACCATCGATATCAGCATCGCTATCACCATCACCAACATAATCATCATCGCTATCATCACCCTCATCACCATAATCACCATGAAGCATCATAACCAGCCACCATCCATCATTATCGTCGTCGTTGTCGTCGTCGTTGTTGGTGTTGCAACCGCCTCAACCAGCACCACCGACACCGTCATCATCATCATCATCATCATCATCATCATCATCATCATCATCACCATCATCATCAGCATCAGCATCAGCATCAGCAGCATCATCATCATCATCATCGGCATCATAATCATCAGCATCATCAACATCATCATCATCGTCATCATCAGTATCCGCATTGTCGCCATTATCATCACCATCGTCATCACCATCAGCATCATCATCGTCGTCGTCCTCGCCATCACCACCGCCGTCAAGATCAACACGATTAGCATAATCACCACCAACAACCAGCATCCGCGTCCTCATTCTCAGCATCGTCCCCATCATCCTCCTCCTCCTTCTCTTCCTCATCATCATCAGCATCATCATGATCATCAGCATCACCATTAGGAGCAGCATCGTCATTGCCATCAGCAGTAGCAGCAACATCACCATCATCACCATCGGCATCGTCATCGTCACCGACATCGACAGCATCCGATCAACAGCAGCAACATCATGATCATGATCATCAGCATCATCATCATCATCATCATCATCATCATCATCATCATCATCATCATCATCATCATCATTACCATCATCGTCATGGTCATCATCATCATCATCATCATCATAATCATCATCATCATCATCATCATCATCAGTAGCAGCATCGTCATCAGCATCAGCATCATCATCGTCGTCATCGTCAGCATCAGCATAGCGACCGTCATCGTCATAACCACCATCACCATCATCATCACCATCATCAGCATCATCACACCCATCATCATGATCACCATCATCGTCGTCAACACATATGTCCTCCTCCTCCTCCTCCTCTTCTCCTCCTCCCCCTCCTCGTCATCCCGTCTCACCCTCCTCACTCCATTGAACTCCTGCATTCCACTCCGGGGCTCCTCGGCGTGCTGCAACAGTCCGTGCGGCCTCCCGAGCTCCGCGCTCGCTTGCCAGGAAGGGGCACACAGTGCTTTAGCTATGTATCGAGAACACCTTGGCCAGCTGCCAGGGAGCGGGCCTGCGCGAGCCGATTTCGCGAACGCCAAACTAGACCGGCGATCTCTGTCTCTCGAGTGTGGAGGAGGAGGAGGAGGAGGAGGAGGAGGAGGAGGAGGCGGAGGAGGAGGAGAGGGAGGATGAGGAGGAGGAGAAGGAGGAGGCGGAGGAGGAGGAGGAGGAGGAAGAGGAGGAGGAGGAGGAGGAGGAGGACGAGGAGGAGGAGGACGAGGAGGAGGAGGAGGAGGCGGAGGAGGAGGAGGATGAGACACGGCGGGCCAGGACGCCGATGGAACTGCCCGTGCCTGCCCCAGGAGGCCAAGCGAGGCACTGGCCCAGACCCGCGAATGCTCCCGAGGGGGTGCGCAGCAGACTTGCCCTCCAGCGGCAGTTGGCGCTTCAGAGGGGCCCCGTTCGAGGCCCCGAAGGGGCAGCGTCGTCAGTACTTGAGAGCCAGGAAGGCGGCGACGCCCGCCCGGATCCAGACATCGGGGTGCTCCTTCGACGGCAGGGCCATGTCCCGCACGAAGTTCGTGCTGTGGCCCGTCGTGGAGAGGGTCCCCTTCCGGCTCAGCACCTGTGAGGCAGGAGCCCTCCAGTCATCGGGGGCGGAGCAGCTCTCCCTGCACGGGCCCCTGGACATCTCGGGAGGGGTCGTGCCTCCCAGGGCCACAGAGCTCTCTGCCGCTGCTATTACAGGGCCTGTCCACGTCCGAAACGGCTGAGACACGGGCCTTGCGGGCCTCAGTTGGGACCGGCTTGCGGACCAGAGTTGACGATGTCTTCGGCTCACGGAAGGATGACGCCAAGATCTCTGGCGTGCAAAAAGAGGTTCCACGGGGCAGTCGGGGCACAGCTGGCCCTCCGCACACTGAACTATCTCCTTCCCGTCCTGCCTCTGTGGAGCCCCCCAGAAACCAGAAATCCTCCCAAGCACCCCCATGAATTCAAGAATATGAACCCTGCTACGAAGATGGCCCCTATCACACCGTCCCTCCCGCTTCCACCCAGTGCTCCCACAAACCTCTTTGAACCTCCTCGTCGTCTTCCTCCCCGTCCTTCTCTTCCTCCTCCCGCTCCTCCTCCGCCTCCTCCTCATCCTCATTCTTCCTCCTCGTCTGAAGATGCACGTGCACGTTCCCGCCCTCCCCCACCTTCGGTTCCCCATGTCCCGCTCGTCACCCCCGCTCTTTCCCCCCTCCGCCCGCGCCCGACGGCGCCACGGAGAGTAGAATTCCTGAGAGCAGGAGCACCCTGGAACGTGAGAATGGGAATGGAGACATGTATGCATGCGGTGTGTTTCAGTTGAACAGTAAGCCGAACCTAGCACAGGCAAGATGCTGGCATTAAACGTGTTCGACCGCCGCCTTGGTTGGACCCCAGCGGCTGTTCTTCCACAACCTCCTCTTCCTCCTCCTCCTCCTCCTCCTCCTCCTCCTCCTCCTCCTCCTCCTCCTCCTCCTTCTCCACCGCCTCCTCCTGTTTCCCATCTTCCTCCTCCTCCTCCGCCACCACCCGAATCCTCCTCCGCACGAGCCCTCCCCCGCCCGACAAGAGCGTCCGAGAGGTTGCCCGACCTTGTACACCGGGCACGGGTACACGCCCTTCTGCGGCTTCCAGTCCAGCACGGGCTTGAAAAGCACCACGGGCAGCTGGGTGAAGAGCTGCTTGGGCAGCGACGGCCCCAGGGCGTGGATCCTGCCCGAGGGCGTCGAAGCATGGCAGGCTGCTCCCTCCTCGTCATCCCCCAGCCCATTCCGCTCCATTCCCATGAAGAGTAGCTCCATCCCATTCCCATGAATCCTGCTCCTCCATCCATCCCACTCCCCGAGAAGCAACTCCTCCCCCAGCGCGCGCCCAGACGTGTCGGGAGGGCAGGCCGGGCGGCTCGCTGGGGACTTCCTCGCCACGAGGGATCCTGAGACATATGACGTCGCCATGGCTGCAGGGACGGACGGAGTCCGTGTTCAAAACGGGGATCTCGCCCGAGCGCCGCGCACCTTCGCCTGAAGAGTTTGCAGCAGCCTCAGGGATGGGGAGGGCCGCTTTCAAGACGGTGCTCTCGCCCGAGAGCCGCACACACTCGTCTGAAAAGTGTGCCACTGATGCACGGATGGAGGGCGATCACGTTTCAAGATGGGCCTATCGCTCGAGACGCCCTCGAGGTTCACGAATGGAAGCGCATGTTTGTGCAAGGCTTACACAGCTGGGGGATATCGCTGGGCAACCCGCTGAACTGTATGATCATGCCTTTCGCAATCCTTATCTTCGCTAGGACCGCTAGGACGCAGTGCAGTTTCATTTCCAACCGGGGTTCTCGCATGGATGACAGGCCCATTGGGCGCTGGTTTTACAAGGGGGCCCTTTTTACAGTGAAAAGAAAGGCCTGTGAGAACTTCTCAGGAGGGGCCCTGGGACGGGAGGGTGCATTGCAGCCTCGTGCCATTATCGCCACCACAACCACCATCACCACCAACACCAGCATCATCATCACCACCGCCATCATCATCATCAGCAGCAGCATCATCATGCACTCCGCACCCCGCACCCCGCACCCAGCACCCCGCACCCCGCCACCCTCCCGTCCGCATTCTCCGCCTCCGCTCCTCCCCATCCCTCCCCCCAACTCCTCATCCTCGCTACGGTGGGAGCACGGCTAACCCAGCATTCGGAGGCGACCGTGACCGTCGCGCGAGACCAACTGAATGATGCTCATCGTACCTACAGGTGTGGCTTTGGCGCGGGCGGCCCAGCTGGTATAGCCAGCACGTCTGGCCAGGAACCCGGACCGCCCGCGAGGCCGATTTTCCCGACGGCACAGCTCGCTTTGCTTTCGGACGACCTCCAGGAGGTCCCAGGGGGAGGGGTTCGTTGCACGTGGTGCCAAGAATGAAGCTCGAGCGGCCTGGCGCGAGATGCGAACCCTCGCCCATCTACTTCTTTTTGGCGGCCGTGAGGGCGGAGAGGCACGAAGACGTCCTTCGGGGGGCGCGAAGCAGTGCCGTCCGCAATGTCATGGCCGCCCTAGGCTTCGACGCAGCTGAAGCGTGGCGGCCTCGCGCTCCCGAGATGTTTGAGCATCTCGGGCACCTTGCACAAGCATCAGACCAATGCATTCTCTGCAGGAGCTGCGGAGCCCATGCGAGGGTCGAGGCACCTAGCTGGCGCACGCTATATTAGGGCCCTGCCAGGGCGAGCCGTCCGCGGGACAGCGGTGGTTCTGTGACGAGGTCCTGGCTGGGCGCGAGCCTCGATAAAGGGTGGGTATGGGGTGCTGGTGATCCTTAGGGTTACCGGCATCCCCCGCCCGCCCGTTTGCGGGGCTCGGCCTGCGCGGGAGAGGCTTAGTGCGGTGGCCCTGCACACCTCCCCCAGCCTTTTCTGAAGTGGGTGGGCGTGCTGGCTCTTCCTCCCCACTCGGAGGCGTCTGCCTCCCTTGCCTTTACGGGCGCCACCTGACTCAGACGGTGCAGCCTGGGCCTGCCTGCCTGCCTGCACGCATGCCTGCCTGCCTGCATGCCTGCCTGCCTGCCTGCCTCCATCTTCCTCCTCCTACTCCTCATCCTCCTCATCCTCCTCTTCCTCCTCCTCCACATCCTCATCCTCTTCTTCCTCCTCCTCTTCTTCCTCCATCTCCTCCTTCTTCTCCACCGCCTCCTCCTCCTCCTCCTCCTCCTCCTCCTCCTCATCCTCCTCCTCATCCTCGTCATCCTCATCATTCTCCTTGCCTCTCTTGGATCGACCGGAGAGACGAGGCCCGGCGCCACTGACCCCTCAGCGGCCCTCGCGGCCCCCGCGGCCTCACCGCGCGGCGGGCCCGCCACCCTCGGGGGGGGAACCCGCCTGGCACCCGCGCCTCCGAAGGCTTCCCCAGCGTGTGGAGGGAATTGCGTCGCGCTCGCGCCCGGCCTGGGCGCGCCTGGGCATCGGCGTTGATGCTCGCGGCGGGTGCGGAACGCCGTCCGAACGGCGCCACATGAGGACGACAAGGCCGAGGGACTCCCCTCCGCCCTGCGGTGGTCGCCCTTCGGTCTCCACACCTCGGCGCGGCGCCAGCCCCGCCTGCGCCAATGGCGCGGTGCCTGCTGCCCGGCGGCGGAGGCGGCGGGCGTGGGAGCAGCCCTTGGAGATCTTCGGCGGTCGGCGGGAGGCTCATGCCAACGAAGTCCCTACACGCAACTGCCACACTTCCCGAGAGGCCTCCAGCCTCAGCCACTTCTGACGCATCGATGCTGGTCCGCAAACCTAACTACTCTCGCCGAGGACCAGTCCGTGGCAGCACAGGTTCCTAGACAAAAAAAACTCTCCCTGGCCAGACCACGATGATTTTGAAACACGCTTCGACCGTTGCCCTGACTGGGCAGCTCGCTTTGCTCGAATTCGCTGCGGCACTGTGCGAGGCCAGGCACTAGGGGGAGCAGGACAGATCTGGGGGGAAGCAAGGCGGAGCCGAGGAGGGTGGGGACAGGGGCCAGAATGGGACCAGGAAAAAGACGCTAGGCGGCGCCCTGAGGCCAGAGCCCCCCGAGGTCCAAGTGGACCTAATACCTTTCGCGGTTTCTCTCCGTTGCCCCAGCGGCCGCAGCGGCGCCTCCAGCACCGCCAGCTGCGCCGTGCGTTCCTGCTCCCTTGCTGCCAAGAACCTCATCCGCCTTGGTGCGGACATCCTGCTTGAGTGAGGCGGCGGCAGGGCCTGTGCCGCTGCCGCAGGCACTCCCTGCAGCAGGCTCAGGAGCCGAGGAGCGCCAGCACCCGCAGCATCGCCTGGAGGCACTGGTGGGCGGTCCTTCGCCGCACAGCCGTCCTCCTCATTCCGACTCTTCTGGAGACGGTCGGCATGATCGGCGCGTTCCTGACGTAGCCTCTCCGCAGTTGCTCCGCGATGTCCTGCACTCCTGTGAGGAGCTTCTCTTGCCGAGAGGCCGCCTTCTTCTCATCCACATCGGTGAACTCGTAGATGTCTACAAGCCCGAACATGCTCTCGCAGCCGCTGAAGTCGATGCACGAAGCGTCGCCATTGAGCAATTGGTCCAAGGAGATCTTGCCGCACGCCGTCTCCTTCTCTTTGTGACCCTGCGCGCACATCTTGCTGAGGAGCTCTGTGTACCGCTCGTCCGCCGAGGTGAGCTTACTGGTGAGCGTGGCCACCTCCACCTCCTGGTCTGAGACACCCTGGCGCAGGCGCCCCAGCTTGTCGATCGCCACCTCGAGCACCCTCTCGAGCTGCTCCACCTGGGCGTGCGCCTGGTGTGTTCGCACTTGGAGAAGCGGCTCCTTCGGCAGGATGGCCTCTTTTTCCTTGAATGCAAGCAACTTCTCGTACTTCGTGATCATCACCGTGTCCCCCGTCTTGCGGCCCAGTACCAGGAGCTGCTTGACCTCGTCGATCGAGAGCGCCATGTCGCCGTTCCCCAGCCCAGGTGGCGGTTGCAGCCCGATCGAGCGAGGGGGGTTGGCCAACTCCGTGCACTCGTCGCCTTCAGCCTCCTCCGCGGCGGGGACGTCCCAGGCGACCTGGCGATGGAAACAACACCATGACTTCCAACCATTCTCCTTGCACCCGCAATGCACACACTTCCACTTGTTGTTCGGCCCTTTGGAACCGCTCCTCTTTGACTGGTTGCTGTCCGACCACGACACACTCGTTTGGCGCATTCCCTGAATTGCTGCATCACCCCACGCCATGACGGCAAGCTGCGAGGGCAGGAAGACGTGGTAGGCAGAAAAGCGGAGCCCTCAACCTGGGCAGGGCTACAGATCGAGGGTCGTGTGGGTCTCTGACCAGCTTGAGCCCCAACCCCAGGGAAGGCGAATGCCCCAGGCAACGGCTTGAGCGAATGGCTACGGACCTCCTCCTCCTCCTCCATTATCCTCCTCCTCCTCCTCCTCCTCCTCCTCCTCCTCCTCCTCCTCCTCCTCCCCTCTCCTCGTCCGCCTCCTCGTCCTCCTTATATTATTCCTCCTCCTCCTCCTTCTCAATTCATGTTCCTTGTAAATGACTTCTCCCTGTCGCACCTCGAAGCTGGTCGCCTGAGACTCCCTCGCAACTTGTGATCCTGAAACTTGAGATTTGCAAGAGCTTCACGGATGGAGGGCGGCCCGCTTTCGAAATGTGGCTCTCGCCCTAGCGCCGAGCCCATTCGGCTTAAACGTTGCAAGAGTAGGGCGGCTCCTTTTCAAAATGTCACTCTCACCTTAGCGCCGCGCACATTGTCCTAAGAGTTCGCAACCAGTTCCAGGAATCGCACGATTAACGTCCCAGTAATTGCGTTTTGGCACGATGTCGAGATGCCAGTAACAGTCACGTAATGTCACTCTTAATTAGGCAAAAGCTTCACGGATGGAGGGCGGCTCCTTTTGAAAATATGATTCTCGCCATAGAGCCGCGTACATTGTCCTAAGAGTTCGCAACATGCTCCAGGAATCGCACGATTAACGTCCCAGCAATTGCGTTTTGGCACGATGTCGAGATGCCAGGGCGTAACAGTCACGTTGATTTGCGGTGTTGAAGTCCCAGGCATGGTGTTCTGGCACGATTCAGGGTCGTCAAGACGCAACAATAACGATGATTCGCTGCGTTGAAGTCCCAGGAATGGCGTTCCGGCACATGTCCAAAATTTTACACGGTTGCTTTCCAGCAAGGCATTTCCCTCTTTTCGAATACATCCGTGTAGGAGCCTATGAAGAGGGAACTTCGAGGGAGTGTGCATTGCAATATCGTTGATGAGTCTTGGGTTTGCACTGGACCTCCTCCTCCTCCTCCACTTCCTCCTCCTCGTAATCCTCCTCGTCATCCTCCTCCTCCTCCGCGTTCTCCCCCGATGCCGTCACACAAAGGCCTGTTCCTCCTCCAGCCAATTCCACTCCGAATTGGGAGTGGCAAGGCCCACCCAAGTCGTGCAGCGGCCCAAATGTCGCCTTCGCCAGCCAAGTCGTGCCTGGCGATCGTGTGGCTCAGACCACGGAAGTGGCGGGCTGCAGTGGGAAGCTGGATGGAGGGGAAGCATTCTGGGTCCGACGGGGAGACGTTCGGCGCCTTCGCTCGGTCGGCTGGCCCGCGTGCAGGTCGTGGCACACAGTCGGCTAGGCGGCACGCGAGGTATGACTGTCTTAATGCTTCGGCACACGGCCTCGCTCCAGCTTCACCCCGCGTAGAAGACTGAGTCCATGACCAGGGGAACCAGCTGGCAGGGAACCATCACAACAGAGCGACACCATGCAGTGACAGGACCAGGAAGTGAAGGGCGATGGTCGGTGCCGGTGCCGATGCAGAAGACGGAATCCGCCGCGTCGGGCCAAACGGACCTTGTCGCCATCCCCAGGCAAACGATGGTCGGACTGCCCATCGCCCGATGAGCTCAAGGACTATCAGCTGGGCTCCGCGAAGAGAGTGGTCAAGGAGCAGGGTGCCACAGAGATCGTGGAGCGGGCCAGCCCTCAGGAGGCCTGCCGCCCGTCTCAGCCAGAGAGAAAGCGCCGCAAGGGCCAGCTCAAACCCAAACTCGCGAGCGTCAAGGCGAGCCTGGACGACACGAGTGACAGGCTTACGGGCACGGACTCCGAGAGCAGCGCGGGCAGCAGTAGCAGTGAGCGGGCGGGTGGCCACGCGCGCAGGTGCGCCGCACGCGTGTAGGCCCCCCTGGTCCGTCAGCCCTGCGGGGTGCTCGAGGTCCAGGGGACGGGAAACGTTGAGGAACGCTGGGCGCGAAGAGTGCAGCGGTCTTCAGACATCCCGATTTCCGCGTTTCGAAATGCCCATGTCAGGCCGCCCTCCGAATCCCTGGGCGCTGAACGAACGAACGAAGTGCCATACGCCGGAGCGCGTGTGCAAAAGACACTGCCAGCCTGATCTCACCGCTTTGCGGGAGCGGCTGCGAGTCGTCTGTCTCTGACTTTGCGAGATGATACGGGATGTCCCAGCCGCGTGGCCGATTCGAGTTTGGCCCACGGAGAAAATAAAACGCAGAGACCATGGACAGATAAGGCCTCGGCCGCGCGGGCGGCGGATCAATACATAGTTATTTCCACAACGAGGCATTGGGAAAATTGTACATGCAATCAGTCACCACAGGGCGAGGTGATGGACGTCTCTGGTGCCAGACAGAAACTGCTGCAGTAACTCTGGCATCATTTCCACGAAAAAAGAGGGCAGGGGGGTGGAACGAGTCATGAGTGCGGCACACAAAAAATCTTGGCTTATCCCAAACGCATTCTCTTCGTAAGCCTCCCCCTCACTCATTCTCCCCGTCCTCCTAGTTCTTCTCCTCCTTCTCCACCTCGTCCTCCTCTTCTTCCTCCTCCTCCTCCTCTTTCCACCTCCTCCTCCTCAACCTCCTCCTCCTCTTCTTCCCACCTCCTCCTCCTCCTCCTCCTCCTCCTCCTCCTCCACCTCCTCCTCCTCCTCCTCCTCCTCCTCCTCCCCCATCCTCCTCCTCCATCTCATCCCTGCCCTCCTCCGCCAGACTGCCGTTTCGGAGCCCCTGGCCTGTCGTCCCAGCGGCAGCCTTCCAGGAACATGCCGCGCATGTAGGCTCCCGCTTCTGGCGGCGTCGCGATGTCGCTGCCGTCGATCTTGAAGTGGTCCGAGACCTCCACATCGAAGTCGACCCTGTCGATGGCAAACTTGTGGGCCCGGGCAAAGTTCTGGAGGACCGCAGTGAAGAAGGCCTGCGGGAAGAAGAGGCCCGACACCCAGAAGGAGATAGGGTGGCCATCGGTATACCAGAGGTGGAAGAAGTCCACGCGGTCGTTCAGGTCCTTGTACCACGCAGTCAGCGGCTTCATCGACAGAAAGCCAACGCTTGCCCACTGCTCTGGCACCATGTTCATGAACAGTCCCTTGCCCACATTCTCGAGGTCCTCTCGGGAGCGGCAAAGAGGGGGGTGTCCAAGAGGGGGGGGTGCAAATCATGACCGGCGGCATGTGCGCGGCCCAGCGGGGGGGCCAGGGACGTAATGAAATAAGAAGAGGCGCCATGAAATCTGAGGAAAAATCATGGCCCGCGCCATGAAATCCCCCCCCCCCTAGTCATCACCCCCCTCTTTTCCGCTCCCGATCCTCTGTCATGACGACCAGGCCCTTCACCGCCCGCCGGAACAGGGGCAGCTGCCTCGCCAGCAGGTCCAGGAGCCTGCCGGGGTTCTTGCATGCTACAGGCGCACGCTGCCCCAACAGTTCTGGGCCTCTCGATTTGGGTCAGACTGGGACGTCCTACGATGTGCCAGCAGTCATGAATCTGACAGCTGCCTACGCCCTCGCGGCGGTTCCCCGCGACCACCGTGTCGCCTGCGCCCCCAAAGGCGGCTGTGCGCGTTTCCTGAACGGGTGGCAACACTCATTCTGCAAACAGATTTCGGATATCCGGGCAACAGCTCAATCAGAATTCAGCGCCCATCCAACAGGCAGCGCACGCGCGCGGAGTTAACTCTCGACGCTGGCGAAAGGAGGAAACACAAGTGCGCTCGGCCCCATCCAGGGCCGAACCTCTGGCTGAAATCGACGCGCCCCGCCCAGAACGCCGACCCGGGAACTCTGGAAATGGTGGAGCTCAACCGAAAGGTCCACCCGCACCCCCAGACTTCTGGCACGCATGCAGCGGGATTACCAGGCACCTCCGATGTATATGATCACGCGCACACGCCTAAATGACACGAGCACTTCGCAGGCAGTGCACAGCATTGGTACTCAATGATTACGTGCTTGGCTAGCTGCTCTGCGTGTCAGAATGATGGTATGATGATATGATGGAGACCGAGTTGGTGCACGTTTCGCGAGGCCATCGGCCTGTTGTACTTAGCGGCCTCTTGCTTCACCACAGTGTTGCGGGACTCCGAATACATCGTCGGGAACCGCTCCTCGAAAAGATCCAGGTCAAACTGCTTGGGCGTGATCTCAATGAGCTCCGCGGCCATGTCATCCATGACCTCCCGCGGGGAGGCCCAAGAGATTTAGGGGGAGGAGGCGGAAGAAGAGGAGAAAGAGAAGAAACAGGAGCAAGAGGAAGTAGATAAGGTTGACCAGAAGGAGGACGACGACGAGGAATGAGGAGAGAAGAAAGGAGGCAGGAGTAAAGGATAAGAGAGGAGGAGGAGGAGGAGGAGGAAGAGGAGGAGGAGGAGGAGGAGGGGAAGAGGAGGAGCAGGAGCACCAGTGTAAACCCAAGACCGATCAACGATATTGCAATGAACGCTCCCTCCAAGCTCCCTATTCAGAACACCGGGCAAGGACAAGCGTCCCACGCTAGCGTCCCACCGCACCCTCTCCATAGGTTCCTGCCAAAAATCAAACGGCAGTGCGGGAAGTGCCCCAGTGCAAAACAACCGCATGGTCATCCCCAGCCGTTCCAGAGCACACCGTCGCGAATCTACGTGACTGTTGCTTTCTGCTCAATATTGCTACAACACAAGTCCTGGGAATTCAGCACCGCGAATCGACGTGACTGCTGCGCCTTAACAACCCCAAACCGTGGGACGTCAACCATACGAAGCCTTGAAACTGCTGCAAACGTTTAACGACGAGTGCGCGCGGCCTCAAGGCGGCAGCGAGTTTGTGAAAGCAGCCCGCCCTTCAGCCTTGAAACTGGTTCAATTGATCACGGCGAACGCAGGCGGCGCTAAAGCGAGAGCCACATGTTGAAAACCACCCGCCCTCCAGCTGCGAAGCTGCTGAAAACTGTTAGGACGAATGCGCGCGGCGCTAAAGCGAAAGCCACATGTTTGACAATCCCCCGTTTTTCATCACTGAATCTGTTGCGAACTTGCACTGCGAATGTGCGCGGCGCTAAAGCGAGAGCCACAGTTTGAAAACGGAACGCCCTCCATCGTTGCAAGTATCACAAATTTCATAATTCCGGTTCATGAAATAGCGAGGCAATCCCAGGCGAAACGCCCAGCCTGCCCTACCGAAATGTCTGGGGATCAGCTAAATATAAAGAAAAGTGATGGAAGAAAAAAGGAGGGGAGAGGAGGGGGGAGGGAGGAGGAGGGAGAAGGATGGGGGAGGAAGGATGACAAGGAGGAAGGAGGACGATCAGGGAACGATGGAAGACGGATGAAAAGTGGATGGGGGGGAGATGGAGAAAAAGGAAATGGGAGGGCGAGGTGGTGAAGGAGGGGGGAGGACAAGGAAGGGAAGAGGGACGATACTATAAATGGGGATGTGGAAAGAGAAACATTGCTTCCGTAAAAAAACTGTAGAGCGATGTATAGCGTGTATAGCGGGCGCGGTAGAGGATCCGGTGAGCAGCAGGCAAGGCAGGAGGACCCACCGTTCGAGTCTGCTGCTCAAACGAGTCCGCTGCGCTTTGTACAGCTATGCAGACATCTGCAGGAAAGGCTCTACTGACCGCCCTTCTTACAAAAAGCTGCCAGGCCGCAAGAAGACAGGTTCACCTGACTTCGACAGGTCCCTGATTTGGCGGCCTTCGCTCCATCCGAAGGGCACTGGCTCCCCACAGCGCCAATCGCAAGAACATGACAGCGCAAGCGGAAGGGATAGAGGCACTCCCGCCGGAGCCCGCGGGACTAGCCAAAGCAAGCGAATCGATCCCCCCGCCTGTAAACATGCGAGGCTACGAAGGAGCACCGCCAAAGCAACCGTGAGCGGACAGAGTCCGAGAATCCCACCCACTTGCATGCTCTACTCGTCAATCTCGCACGTGAATGCCCGCGCGCTCTGAAGCACGCATCCGACCCCCAATTGGCCAATGCGGCCCCTGGACCTAAAGCTCGCATCACACCAGAAAAGGGCCAATGCGGCTCTTGGAAGTATATCATCTTTCCGACTCCGCGTGGCCATGTGACACAGTTACAAGAGTCATCTCCGCATTCCTGCGTTAGTGAGCTATGCTGTGAGCTCGGGGCGGCCTCCTTCAGTTTGTCGTCGATGAACTTGACCGCGGCGTGGCCATGGCTGATTTGGCCGTCCATCATGCTGAGGAGTAGCTCTCGGCACACGCTGCCCTCGGTCATGGGGTCGGCCCGCATGTCCCGAGTGTCGCACCAGAGCAAGTCGTCGATCTGCACGGTGCGCAGCTGGTCGGCGAAACACCTCAGGCAGGCAGCCACACTGTTCTCGGACGGCGGCCCGACCGGATCCATGAGCAGGGAGCTGAAAGACCGACATGCCTTCTATGACGAGGTCAGCAGGGATTGCGCAACCTCCTTCCCCCTTCCCCTCTCAGCCCCCTGCCCCCCTCGGTAGAGGCGGGGCCGCGCACGATCTCGCGCAGCGCGAAGGGCGCGCCCGCGGACCATCTGCCGCGCCGGACGCTGCGAGCAGCTCGAGGCCGAACGAGGATACGCACAAAAGCTTGCGCGATCGGTTCACAGCGCCCAGCAGGCGGAACACCTGTTTGCCGGCGCGGCGGCGCCTGCCGAGGCGCATGTATACGGCCCCTGCATCGCCGTGCCCTGACTCCCCCCCCCTCTTGAACGACCCGTCGCCGCGCGCGCTGAGTTGCCCAGCATATGCCATTGATGGGAATGTGACGCACACCTTGATATTCGGCATGGCCAGAACAACTGAGTTGAGCTGCACCGCGCGTCGGATGAGCAGCTTGTTCTTGGCTCGTTGCAGGGCAACGGTGCACGCAGCGGCACGGCGCTGGGCGAACAGGTCGCAAGCCGCTGCCCCCAGGAGAGAGACAAAGAGGTCAGGAAGCTGACCTCCAGTCGGCTCGTCAGCCTTGGCCTTGAACAGGTCGACGTGTCCAATCGGAGTCAGAGCGTCGATGCGCTCGTCCTGGTCGAGTGTCACGGCGCGATCGGTACTGCGGTGCTGGTGCGCCCCTCGATTGGTGAAGCCATCGTAATCACCATTCATAATGCCGAAGACGCTCTCGACGTGGCTGATCAGCCAGTCGACGCGCTCCTTGTCCAGCGAACTTCAGATCGAAGAAGTGTTTGGACAACATGAGCACTAGCTCCGAAACGCCGGCACCACAGATGCCAGACGTCACGTGCTCGACCTCAAGCTCCGAGTCCCACCTGGTAGGTTTGACGCTGCACTCAGGTGAACGGGTGAACTGGGCAAGCTTCATGGAGAAGGCTCGGGGCGCATCCTTGCAGCCCGTACCCGGCTCGATGCAGCGCAGGCACTCGGCCCGCTCGCCAAGACTCTCGTAGCCGGGCACCTGCCTGAGGACGGCTGCGCTGCCAGGTGGCAAGGCAAAGGTCACATCTCGAATTGCTTCGCCTTGCTCCTGCATCTCTGCATAGGTCATGCCTTGCAGGAGTGTCTCCTCGACGTCAACGGCGACGCACACCCAGTCCGGGCGACGCGCCGCCTCTGAGGATAGTGGGCGCTGAAAGGCCCGCTTCGATGCCCCAGCGATCGTCTCCAGGGCTCCGGCGCCCACGTCGCGGAAGCCCATAAGCACCATGCGCCACCGGATGATCCTGACAGTCTTGCCGTCTGATCCCCTCCAGCGCTTCCGCTTGAAGACGTGTCTGTAGTCCCTTACGTTTCGGGCACCTTTGAGCGGGCGCCTCTCGAAACGTTTGTACTTGACCCAGATAGTGAACTCCTCGAGGACGACTGCTGCGACCTCCTTCGACAGCCTCGACATTTCCTCGTTGAACAGAAGGTCGGCGTCGCTCGATGACCGCGTTCTAGACGACGGCCTAAATGTTTAGCAAAACTGTCTGGAGAGCGGTGGCGACACAGTCGCCGGGCGCAGCCTCTCTGGAGCTATGGAATGCCTCACGCGCCCCCGGATCACGATACAGCTTCACATGTCTACCTACATCGTCCTCCTCCAGCGTGGCGTACTCATCCAAGGAGGCCCCGCGCACCCGCGCAAGTAGTGGTGGCACTTCGCGTGGATGCTCTGACGCTGGCGCTGCGTCTCGAGGTGCTGGGGCCACTCGCGTGGCGTCATCACGGCCTAGGTCGTCCGCGGCGTGCTCGACGGCAGCGGAGATTTTACGCCGGCTGTCGGCGCTCCCCAACTTCTCCAGCTCCTGGGCCAGATCCTGCACCCCCTCGACTTCACGCCAAGTCAATGACACAGTCATCGAGCGTCCCGTCCAGGTCCTGTCCTACATCTGTCACCACTAACGGCTCATCATCCAAGATAAACTGGATGATGCGAGCTTCCTTCCAGGAGGCGGAGGAGGAGGAGACGGATTCGGGAGGAGGGGGGAGCGGAGAATGGAGGAGTTCTCCGACCTCCTCGGGCGACTTTCCGCCGCCCCCGCCGCCGCCGCTGCTGCTGGAGGATCCCATTGACCTTGGCGGCAATCGCGGATGCCCGGTCCCGCGCGGAGCGGAAGCTCCCCCGATGCCTTCCGTTCGATCCCCCCTCCGCCTCCACGTCGCCCCTTTCGCCCCTCCCTCCCCATCTCCTCACAGTCCCCGCTCTCCCCTTCCACCACACACTGCCCACTCCGAACCCCTTCCCACCCCCCTTCCCCCACCACCACCCACCCACTTCCCATCACTCCCCACTCCTCTTCCCTCCAGTCCCATCCCCTCCCCTACCTGTACGTTTACTCAAAATGAATACTACACTCCTCTCTTCCGTCAAGACGAGCTGAAAATTACGCGCCCCCCATCCACGCAGTGCTTTTTACATACACACACACAGGATGGGTCTGAGTTGGTCTGTCACATGTGCTTGTCCAATCCGAGCGTTCTCCCGCTGCAGCGTGGGCCTGAGTTTAGGATCGCGGCGAAGATCCCGTTGCTCAGAGCTCTCGCCCAAACGCGGGCCACTTTTCTGAATCCGAGTCCTTCCTCATCGTTGTCGTCCCCTTCTTTCCCCTCTTCTGGCTTCTCCTGGTCCTCCTGCTCCTCCCGCACCTTCCATCACTTCCTGCTGCTGCAGTTCGTTCTCGTCCTCCTTCTCCTTCCTCATTATCCGCCTTTTCCTTATGTTCATCTTCCTGCTCATCCACCACCTTCTGCTCCTCCTCCTCCTCCT